CATCAGGCAGCAACACAAATGAATCTCACAAGGGATACTGAGCAAAAGGCAAAACACAAAAAGATACATATTTACGATTCCATTCATACAAATATCAAAAACAAGCCAAACTGAACTATATATTTCAGATATGCAAAAATAGGTCATCCATTCTAGCAAACATTCAAAGAACAAGTAGATAAAAACTTACAGAAGTTCTTCCAAAGAAAAGCAAAAACTAATTTTTACAAGAATGTTGATAGCAAAACCAGACAGTAGAGAAAGGAAAAGCTCAAGCCAATCTCAGTAATACACATAAAGGCAAAAATCCAAAACAAAATTATAGATCTCACAGTCCAACAATGTATATAAAAGATTAAGTCCCAATTCAGTTTATTACAAAAATACAACGTGGAGGCAACATTAGAAACTCAATGTGGCTGGGTGTTGACTCATGCCTGTAATCCTAGCACTTTGGGAGGCTGAGGCGGGTGGATCACCTGAAGTCAGGTGTTCGAGACCAGCCAGGCCAACATGGTGAAACCCTGTCTTTACTAACAATATAAAACTTAGCCAGGCGTGGTGGTGCATATCTATAATCCCAGCTACTCCAGAGGCTGAGACAAGAGAATCGCTTGAACCTGGGAAGCAGAGGTTGCAGTGAGCCAAGATTGCACCACTGCACTCTAGCCTGGATAACAGAGTGAGACTCTGTCTTAAAAAAAAAAAAAAAAAGGAAGAAAGAAGTAAAGAAAAAAAACCTCTATTAATGTAACTAACTTACCACCACTTTAGAAACAATTTGGCATTATGTAGGAAATCTGAAGATGTACATGCCCTACGACAGCCTGCAATTGTGCTCCCGAAAGGATACCCCAGACAGAATTTTGCCCATGTGGCCATGTGGCCTATAGGTTTGTAGCAGCATTGTCTACAAGCCAAAAACTAGAAACACCATAGAAGAACAGAAAAACAAACTGCAGTATACTCCTACAACGGTATACTACAAAATGATAACAATGAATGAACCACGCTATAAAGAGAAAGCCAATTCTCAAAAATATTAATATTAATGATAATAGCAAGTTTAGAATACATGTATATGATTTCATCTATATAAAAGCCATGAACATGCAGAACTGAGTAAATGTCTAGAAATACACTTGCATGTGTGTGTAAAACTACAAAGAAAGAATTGTATTGACACACAAAATGGAAGACAGTGGTTACCTCTGGGGCAAAGGAAGAGATTGAGAGAAAAATTAAATTGCAAAGAAGTACACAGAGGGTTCCAAAGTTATTGATAATGTTCCATTTTTTACAGGGTGTTGGGCATATGGATTTTTTAAACTGTTCTTTATACACACACATATACTGCTTATAAAAATAATATATTTCCTAATTTAAAAAATAATTTCAGGATTTACCAGTCTAGACCAGGGTTAACTATGAATCATTCTTCAATTTTAGCTCATGAAATACAGCAAAACATTTTTCCATAACATAGGGTTTTCTTCTTCAAGAAACATGACAAACATTTTCATTTATTTATTCACCCAACTATTTATTGAGTAATTATTACATGCCAAATATTCTTTGGGCATCAGAGAGAAAAGCAAAACCGACACTATCCCTTCCTCATCAATCATACAGTTTAGTAAGAAAGATAGATTCTGCTTAAAAAATACATATAGATAAATATATAAATACAAGAATGTACTATCACAGGAAAGTACAGTATTGTAAGATTATATATACAAGGAGACTTCATTAAGTCGGAAGTTCAGAGAAGGCCTTTCTCAGGATTTAACACAAGTTGAAACCTGAAGAGGATTCAGTTAAGCAAAAGGGGCAGGTAGTGTGCATTCTAGACAGAAAGTAGCATGTGCAAAGGGCCTGAAACAGGAAGGGGTTTGAAAGGCTTGAGAAGCTGGCTAAAGCTAGAGTAAGAAACGGAATAGCAAAGATGACCCTGCAGAGACAGACAGAGCCAGATTACATAAGAATTTGTAGGCAGTGGTATTTTCAATGAGACTGCAGGCCACTATTATACTTTAGGTAGGAGAGTAACATGGAGGAAGGCCAGAGGAAAAAAAACAGAGAATCCAGTAGGAGTTACTACAGTAGTTTAGTTGAGACTGCCAGCCAAGAGTTGATGGGTGCCTGAGCCAGGATAGGAGCAGCGGGGAGGAAGAAAACTATATTAAGGGAGATACAGCAGACAGGGAGTGGCAACGGAATACACGTTAAGAGATGGGGTAAGGATGGTACCAAGGAGTATACCCTTATTAAATGAAAAAGACTGAAAATCTGCCAACTCTCATATTTTACAATATAGCCCTAATTTTGATGTTTAAAAGTATACAAAGTTATTCTGAAAATAAACTGAATATCAATAAGAATAAAAAACAATAATGGATTAAAACACATGAAATATGTTAAAATTCATGTGCACATCATAAAATGGTAGCGCAAAAGACAGAGAGGAAGATAAAGTATATTAAAGACTCTAACATTGCTGGAAAGTGGGGAAAAAAATGAAATAAGTCAAGGATACACGTTGTAATCTCTACAGTAACCTCTAAATCAATTTGGAAATGCAATAAAATAGATGCCAAAAAAATGAAAAATATTTTATTGATCCAAAGGAAGAGAGAAAAATGAATATAAAATAGATAGATTAACTAAAAACGAAGAGTAGGGGCCGGACACAGTGGCTCACACCTATAATCCCAGCACTTCGGGAGGCTGATGCAGGCAGATCACCTAAGGTCAGGAGTTCAAAACCAGCTTGACCAACATGGTGAAACCCCATCTCTACTAAAAACACAAAAATTAGCCAGGTGTGGTGGAGGGCAGCTGTAATCCCAGCTACCTGGGAGGCTAAGGCAGGAGAATCACTTGATCCCAGGAGGCAGAGGTTGCAGTGAGCCAAGATTGAGCCACTGACTTCAGCCTGGGTGACAGAACTAGACCCCGTCTCAAAAATAAAATAAAATAAAAACAAAGAGTAGGGTGGTAGAAACATACTGCCATTTTACTATACACGTTAAACTACAACACAAGGATGTTTCCAGAATATGGGAAATGCTCTAGGAGAAACACTCTGATTTCTTCAAAAAATAAATTGCAAGGAAAAAAGGGTGGGGTGGGGAGGAGGATGAGGATTGGCCAAAGTGTTAACAATCACTGATCCTGAATAATACACACAGGGGATATACCATACTACTGCCTCTATTTTTGTAGTCATGTGTATTTCACTGGAATATAAAGTGGAAAGGAACCGAGGGAAAATGGGAGGGAGAGAAGAAGAGAGAGCAATACAGAGACAGTGGCAGGGAGGGAAGGTCTCTGGATACTTACTGGCATACTTACGCGCAGAAAATGTTTTGACAGGATATATTTTTAAATGTTTAAGTGGTTATCTCTGGGCTAATGTGATCATAATTTTTAGAACGTTACAAATTCATTGTCTCTGGGTGGGAAGATTACTGGTAACTTTTAGTCTCTTTTTGTTTAGCTGTGTTTACTAGTTGTGTCTACAATAAGTAAAACAGAATGCTTGACTCAAAAATTGTTTTAAAAGATGGAAGAAAGACTGCCAAAACCCAAAAAAGCTTCTCCCCTAACATAGATGTTGATGTGTAAATCTACATTTCTTCAACATTTTTGGGTCACAGCTCGCAACAGACTAAATGTCTGTGTCCTCCCAAAATTCATACATTAAAACCCTCATCTCTAATGTGGTGGTATTTGGAGATGAGCCTCTGGGAGGCAAACAGGTCATGAGGGTGGAGCCCTCACGATAGGATTTGTACCCTTATAAAAGGAGACCCAGGAGAGCTTGTTTCCTCTCTGTGTCACCACCACGTGAGGACACAGCCAGAAGGTCCTCACCAAGAACCTGACCCTGCTAGCACCTTCATCTGGGACTTCCAGCCTCCAGAACTGTGAGAAATGAATTTCTGTTTAAGCAACCCATGACGGATTGTGTTATAGCAGACCAGACTAAGACACAGGCTCTGCAGAACCTGACAAAAGCTACTGCCTCTCCTTCCAGAAAAATGCACAGTCCTACAGAATTTTTCATACAATGTCAAGAAACTCTGAGATCCCTAATGAACCCACAGACCTTCTCTGTTGTCGACAGTAGTTATAATAAATAATAATAACAGCTGGCAATTACTGCCTAATGGCCAGGTGCCAAGCATGGTTCTAGGTGTCCACTCATTTAATCCTCCCACCAACCCTCTAAGATGGGCACTCTCATCATCCTCATTTTATTGACGAGGAAAGTGAGGACAGAGATGATTAATAATTTGCTCAGGATCCACTAGCTATTAAGTGGAAAAGCCAGCATACAAACTTGGGCAGCCTGGCTCCAGGGCTCAACTCTTAAGCAGCAAAATATGAGGCCACCCACAGGGTTGAAGTTAAACATGCCAAGCAAATATGACATCCTGAATCATGCTTTGGAGAACATGTCTTCAAATTCAATTAACATTAAATGCCTACCATGTGCCAGACCCATCCAAACACATAAGCTCATCCAACCCTCAAAAGAGTGCTGTAAGTAAGTCGCCCCAAATCCCCAGTTAACTGCTATAGAAACAGGAGTGTAGCCTGTCTTCTGACTTCAACATACCACAGCTAACTGCTTCTAAACTGGGGTGATGGTCCCACTCTACACCACATACGAGCTCCCCATGACCAAATTGCAAAATAACTGGTCGACATACAATTCAATAGGTAAATCTACAGACCCCAAAATTTGTCCATGGTGCAAAACAATTCAGCATTTGAGGAGATTTTCCTTCATTACTCAGCTTCAGCCTGCTGAGACATCTTAGATGGATATGTGCTTCCAAAAGTTTGCCCTTGAGTTTCATATGCATAAACAGGATCGTTTACGTACACTGCAAATAACTGCTAAATGCTATAATACCACATTGTAATCACATGCAACACAGCCTACATGAATATGAACATGTGAGTTACATGAGAGCTCCCCTAGCACTTACAGTTTCACAGTTCAAGCATCGAGTTTCATTGGTGAGCGTTCCCTGAAAAATCTCATGGACCCAGGTGAGTTCTGGTTTATTATTTTCCGCAGGTTCGTTCATGTTGCCATTTTTTAATTTTCCGTTTTGTTTTTCCTGTTTCTTCTCCTCCTGCAGGATGTCCGCAATAGTGTTCAGCAAATAATTTAAAAATTCATGAGCATCCTGCTGCATGTAGTTATCAAAGAGATCTGGAAAGGAGAAGGTAGTTATTTCAGTCTCTGGTTCTTAAAAAGCAAATGGATCTACTCAAGTGTTACATGCCATATTTCAATTTTTTTTTCTTTTTGAGACGAAGTCTCACTCTTTCGCCAGGCTAGAGTGCAGTGGCGCGATCTTGGCTCACTGCAACCTCTGCCTCCCAGGTTCAAGCGATTCTCCTGCCTCAGACTCTTGAGTAGCTGGGACTACAGGCACACATCACCACCTACAGCTGATTTTTGTATTTTTAGTAGAGACGGGGTTTCACCATGTTGGCCAGGATGGTCTCGATCTCTTGACCTCACGATCTACCCACTTCAGCCTTTCAAAGTGTTGGGATTACAGGCTTAAGCCACCATGCCCAGCCCATACTTCAATTTTTATACTGAAAGGGTGGACAGGCATGGAATATAAATACACTCATCTCTACCAGGCAGCTTCAATGAGTAAGCTTCCAAATAATTTTTAAATTTATTTCCATTTTCTGCCACCCATCAAGAACACATTTCCCATATCTCCCTGAAGTCATCATATTTATATAAAACTACCAAGTTTTATTTGTTCTACAAAAGAAGTTAACAGACAAGTTCCCTGATAAAATATCAATTTTTAATATGATGTAACCAACAGTGATCAATTAATTATTTATTGAGTAATTTATTCAGAGCAACTGGGGTCTCTTTTCAAAGACCATATTAAACCCTGGACCAGCCTGGAAGCAGCTTAGATGAAACACAGATGGGAGATGAGGGATATGTGTGAGTAGGCATCTCTCTGATAATGTTCTGAAACCAAATACAAATGATTCCAGAAGCCTACTGCTACTCCCTGCCATAAGGACAAACAATCAAGAGATGAATGCAGCTGTGAACCTTCATTATTAATCATGTTCACAACTAGACAGTGCTCTGCTTCCTTCTCCACTCAAATTAACTTTTATTCTGATATGTATAAACTGTAACTTCAAAAGACAGCAATCAATTTAAACAAGACTTTATAAAACAAATACCTGATTAACCAGGCACATCTGATGTAGTAAGGGTGGATCTAAGATAAATGGTAATTGCCATAACAAATACCTTTATAGCCATAAAAATTGCTCATACAAAACTTCCGGAATACACACCTAGTTTCTCCCAACAATCCCCTAAAAGCAGAAGATAGAAAAACGAGGAAAATAAGGACTTTTAAAAATCATATAAAGCAATCAATTCGATATCCTTCAATTACCTTAGGCAAATGAAAATCAGAGGCATTATATTTAAAATAGCAGAGGCTCTGATTAGGTAATAGGCACTTATTTTAATCACTTATGATAAGCTTTTAAGCCAGTACTATTTTATTCAATTATCACAATGAGTATCCCACTCCGAAGGCTGCCTTGGACACTTTTTTCTCCTACAATGATCCTGCCCAGAATGGAGCAAATAAAAAGGTCATTCTAAACTGGGATGATAAATGTGCATGTTTAAGCATGTTTCTAATCCGGTTTTGTTTTATGTCTACTGGGTAGAGAAGAAATGCTGTTTCTTAAAAAATGACACTGAGTAGTTGACCATGCTCATTTTCCCTTTTCAAAAAAATCCCAGCTCGTGCTTTTGAGGAGAGAGAGAACCACCAATTCTCCTTATTTCAGAGCCTTAAACACATTATAATGCATACGACTCACCATTCTCTTTTCTCAGCCTTGAAATGAACTTCTTTGGTGGGATGACGCCAACCTTCTTCTTCTGCGTGGCAATGCTGTGGAAAAGGTCCGCCAGGCACGTCAGCAAGTTTTCCTTCTTCTTTTGCTGGGCCTTGTATGCCAACACATTCTCCCGGAACGGCCGGCAGAAGTACAACGCCTGAAGCACGGAGTTACAGTAGCATGTGTTTCCAAACTGCCAAGGGACAACACGGATGGTTCAAGTCATCACCTGGGGATGAGCCACCTCTGGAATAAGTGGTGAGGGTAAGCAGGTCCCTGCTCTATAAACTGGCCCGGTTGTCCCTGTATTGGAGTCCAGCTCACCATTATTAGAAAACTAGTTAACTACTCTAAACACCAGTGACCATCTGATCAAGAGAGAAGTGAAGAAAAATGCACATCATTCCGGTGCTTCTCTAGCCCATCAAAGTCTCTAAAATGATAATAAGCACTCTGCCTCAATAAAAAGTCTAATGAGACCTGCTGGTGCTTAAAAAAAAGAGAGAGAAAGAAAAAAAATCTACATAATGTGGAGACCCAGGAAAACAGCTGTCTAAATAAAAGATGCACATTGCAACACATCAAAACTCCCACGACAGGGAAAATAAAAATATGAATCAAAGAGAAATCCAGTAATTAGGAACCACTTGCTTGGCTGAAACAGCCAAAACTGAACGGGGGCTGGTTTTCCCTTCTCAGTATTCCAGTGCTCCTGCCCACTGGCTTAGACCACATTTCCTCACTTAACCCTGAGCAACGCAGGCAAAAAAAAAATGCCTCCTCATGTCACTCTCCCAGCTTCCCACCCTCTGGACTTCTAAATAGCCCCGATCTTGCTTCTGCCAAGGTAGCAATTGTGCCAATACAATACCACCTAAGTTCTTAGCCTGCAATCACACTAGGACCCACCCGGTCACATTTTATACCTCTCACAGAGCATGGATACTGAGATTATGATTAAAGAGGAAAAAGGTCTCACTGATTTTCAACTGACTGCAAGACCACCTCTATAGAAGAATATAGCTGAGACTATCACTTTAGAATTTATTGTGTGCAATAAAATTTAAAAAACAAGTCTAAGGAAATAACTAACAAGATTAATAACACAGATTACAAAATGCTATGTAAGATTAAAATAGAACACGAACACCTTCTCAAAACTGGCTGTTGGCTTGTGTGTCGTTTACTCAAGAGCGAGACAGATGCTCTGCCATACTTAACATGACATTTCTATGTATGCTAAGATAGAAGGCTTCCTATTTTTATATTTTAATCTACTTTGACACAATTATGTAACAGAAGACAAACCTCTTTGTACAGAGAAGCTGAAACTTTCATAACTTACCATTCAAAGGGAACATAAATGAAGCTATTAATAAACACAGATCTCACAATCCTTACACAAACTAGGAAACGGCCTTAATTCTTTTGTTTTCTTTTCTCCACAATCTGCATTTGTATTTTTCTTAGCCAGGGCAGAATTCCCATGCCTTGAATAACTCTCTTCACAGGGCTAAGCAGAGACCTGTGCACGATGGCTAGAAAGTTTGTTTTAAAATTATAAGTCAGTATTTCACCAACACAATGCCCTATATGCCAGGACTTAGCTTTCCTCCTTCCATTCTTTTCTATCAGTATCTCACCTTTCCCAGACACCTTTCAGTAACACTTGGCCCCAATTCAGTGGACAACTCCTAGGAAGGGAGAGGAACTAACATTTACTGAGTGTCCACAGTGTGCCTCAGCTTCATGCCAGGGTTTTAAATAGGAGCTCTCAGCTGGGCATGGTGGCTCATGGCTGTGATTCCAGCACTTTGGGAGGCTGAGGCGGGTAAGATCACCAGGTCAGGAGATTGAGACCATCTTGGCTAACACGGTGAAACCCCATCTCTACTAAAAATACACCAAAAAATTAGCCAGGCACGGTGGCACATGGTTATAGTCCCAGCTACTCAGGAGGCTGAGGCAGGAGAATCACTTGAACCCAGGAGGTGGAGGTTGTGGTGAGCCAAGATCACGCCATTGCACTCCAGCCTGGGAGATAGAGCGAGACTCCGTCTCTAAATAAATAAATAAATAAATAGGGGCTCTCATTTACCCTTCATTATCACCCAAAGGGTAGAAACCATTATGATCCCCAGCTGTAAGATGAGGAAATGGAGGCTCAGAGAGAGCAAGTAACTTGCCCAAGATCACACGAGCTAGGGAGTAGCACAGGCAGAATTCAAACCAAGCTCTATATTACACTGAAGCCCATATTCTTCTCATTCTATCATGGATAGTGTTTACTCACAGAGAGTATTTCCAGCTTTCCCAGGGGAAATTACTACTTACCACACCTGGGCGCTGACAGACTATGCTCAGTATAATTATTCAGAAAACCAGTTGTTTATAAGTTAATATTTGATGTCACTTAACACTTATGTCCCAGAGGAAAAGGATCAGGTGAGGAGGAAAGCTCATGAGGGTGGAGGACACAGTAGCCTCTACTGCCTTACTACTCCATTGTCATCAACCTACCAAGGAAGCAGAGCTGCTGGTTCCAGGCTTCTACAAGGAAGTTACTGTGGAGCACAGGAAAAATGAGGCCAGGAATTCTGAGATAAAATGGTCCCAGTTTTACCCTCACAGCCTATCCAGCTTCAGGTATATCACCAAGTCACATTGTTAAAGAAAGATACTGGTAATGTACTGGTAACGTTTTAAAAATACTGATTGTAACGATGCATACTTAAACAAAGACTGGCTGAACAGTTCATCCAGACAACACAGAGAGAACATGTCAGAGCAGATTTGGGGCTTAGAACGATGGCCTGTAATCCCCACACTTTGTCAGGCTGAGGCAGGTGGATCACCTGAGGTCTGGAGTTTGAGGCCAGCCTGGCCAACATGGCAAAATCCCGTCTCTACTAAAAACACAAAAAATAGCCAGGCATGGTGGTGCATGCCACTCGGGAGGCTGAGGCAGGAGAATCACCTGAACCTGGGAGGTAGAGGCTGCAGTGAGCCAAGATTGTGCCACTGCACTCCAACCTGGGCAACAGAGCACAACTCCATCTCAAAAAAAAAAAAAAAAAGCAGATTTGATTACAAAGACTAATGAAATTATTATGAAAGTTACGTGTCCAAAGGAAATTCCTTAAAGGATAGGGACGAAAATGTAAATTTGACCCAAAATGCAATAATTAAATGTTTTTTGCTGGGACAACTCATACTTTCAAAAATAAGTTAAATTGGCCCTCCCTAACACTGGCATTCTACACTAAGGAGCATGACTAATCATTCAAAAATTGGTAGTGATAAAAATGCACTTAAAGTGGAGTTGCTTCACATACTCTAAAACATTTGATGAAAATGATACATTTTACATACTTACATTGACCAATCCGAAATAGTGTTCATTGATTGGAAACTGCTCTGGACCAATGTCTTTTTCCAGAGCAGAGGCATTGGTGCCCTAAAAGAGAAAAACAGCAAAGTCGTGTTGCATATAAAACAGACAAGCAAGTAAAATCATACTTAAAAGAATCTACTATTGAGACAAGCATCTCCCCTGGTCAACAAGGTATTTGGTAATGTTCGTGCTGAAGGAAAAGGTGTCAGAAGTAAAGCAGATGAGTAGTTAATAATGTCATTCTTTTTTTTTTTTTTTTTTTTTTTTTTTTTTTTTTGAGACGGAGTTTCGCTCTCGTTACCCAGGCTGGAGTGCAATGGCGCGATCTCGGCTCACCGCAACCTCCGCCTCCTGGGCTCAGGCAATTCTCCTGCCTCAGCCTCCTAAGTAGCTGGGATTACAGGCACGCACCACCATGCCCAGCTAACTTTTTGTATTTTTAGTAGAGACGGGGTTTCACCTTGTTGACCAGGATGGTCTCGATCTCTCGACCTCGTGATCCACCCGCCTCGGCCTCCCAAAGTGCTGGGATTACAGGCTTGAGCCACCGCGCCCGGCCAATAATGTCATTCTTAACTACTACTCCTCATTCAACTTATTCATCCCCTCAAACCTGTTCTACTTGGCTTCAATTATCTTCCAATTAGAAAAGGAAGTCTGAGATAGGCAAGTGAACAAATAATCCCCAAGAACTTCTGAATAAAACACAGGCATTTCAGACAGCTGCAGCAGCTTCTGTAATATTTGATGGTATATTGAATCATATTACCACTATCAAAGTCAATTTCTTCATTCTAATAAAGATTTACTGAGCACCCACTAAGCCAGACACTGTTCTCCAGGTCTGGGCATGGATAATAGAACAGTGAACTAAACGCACATGACACCTGCTCTCATGAAGTTCACATTTTGGCAGATGAAGACAGACTGAAAGGAAAAGTAGTGTGTTGGACAGTTTATGTTCAAATAATAGTGCAGGAGCTGGGCGCAGTGACTCATGCCTGTAATCCCAACACTTTGGGAGACCAAGGCAGGCAGATCACTTGAGGTCACGAGTTCAAAACCTGCATGGTCAACATGGTGAAATCCTGCCTCTATAAAAAATATAAAAATTAGCTGGGCATGGTGGCAGGCATATGTAATCCTAGCCACTCAAGAGGCTGAGACATGAGAATCGCTTGAACCTGGGGGCTGGAGGTTGTAGTGCACTGAGATTGTGCCACTGCACTCCAGCCTGGGTGACAGATGAGACTCCCCTCCTCTCCCCGCTCCTCTTCCCTCCTGTCCCCTCTCCTCTCCTCTCCTCTCTTCTCTTTTATTTTATTTTTTGAGACAGAGTCTTAATCACCCAGGCTGGAGTGCAATGGAGAGGACAGGGGAGGGGAGGGGGAAGGGGAGGAGGAAGGAAGGAAGGAGGGAGGGAGGGAAGGAGGGAAGGAAGGAGGGAGGGAGGGAGGGAGGGAGGGAAGGAGAGAGGGAATGAAGGAAGAAAGGCAGGCAGGCAGGATAAAAATAGTGCAATGGAGAAAAAGTAGAAAATGGGGATGGGGAAGCCAAGGAGTAAGGACTGGGGAGAGACATGCAGGCTGTAGCGGGTGGAGAGGGGCACGTTAATTTTTTTATTTTATTTTTTGAGCCAGTCTTACTCAATCACCCAGGCTGCAGTGCAGTGGCATGATTATGGCTTACTGTAACCTCAAATTCCTGGGCTCAAGTGCTCCCCCTACCTCAGTCTCCTGAGTAGCTGGGACTACAAGTGCACACCACTATGCCCATTTAAGTTTTTTATTTTTGGTAGAGACAGGGTCTCATTATGTTGTCCAGTCTGGTCTCAAACTCTTGGCCTCAAACAATCCTCCCACGTCAGCCTCCCAAAGTGCTGAGATTACAGGTGTGAGCCACCACGCCCAGCCTGCACCTTTAAATAGAGTGGTCAGGGAAGGCCTTACTGAGAAGGTGAATGTCCAAAACATATTGTAAATAGTGGGGAAATATAATCTAAAACCTAACCATTCCCAAATGCATCAAATTGGTAAGTGCATGACAATCCAATGTAACAGCTACTGGGTACACTTACCATGTGCCACAGACTGTGCTATTTATGCCCACAACAATCCTGTGAGGTAAGGACAAGGAACTTAATACTCAGAAGCATTGAAGAATCCACCCAAGATCCACTGTAAGTGGTAGAGCTAGGATCTGAACTCAAGAGGCAGACTTGAGAGGCCACGATCATAAGCAAATGCTGCACAGAACAATTCTACTATTAAACCTTCCGTTAAGCCCTACTATGGGTCAGTTTCTGGCAACTGATTATCATCATTCCCTGAGACCTGGACAGTCTTCTAGAATTAGGAAAAGTGACCCAAGTTCAGTCCAATAAGGTAAGTAGTTTGGGAAGTGGTAAGATCAGGCTCCATTTGTACCATGGACTCTATCACCATTCCAGATAAGGCTCTGTCTACCTTTGCAGACCATCATGGAAGATTAACACCTCACAGAAACGCAAAGATTTGAGAGACAGGTATTTTTAAATGAATAAGAAAAAAGTTTTAGCTGGGCATGATGGCTCACACCTGTAATCCCAGCACTTTGGGAGGCAGAGGTGGGTGGATCCCTTGAGCCCTAGGAGATCAAGACCAGCCCAGGCAACATGGTGAAACCCTGTCTCTACAAAAAAATACAAAACTTAGCAGGATGTGGTGGCACAAACCTGTAATCCCAGCTCCTCCAGAGGCTGAGCTAGAAGAATCACCTGCACCTGGGAAGGCAGAGGCTGCAGTGAACTAAGATGGCACCACTACCCTCCAGGGCAACAGAGTGAGACCCTGTCTCAAAAAAAAAAAAAAAAAAAAAGGTTTATTAAAAAAAACAATTGATCTGCTGTGACTACATATTTTGGAGTCACAACTGGCATCTCCTCTCACAGGAAGTAACAGCCAAAACATAACTGAGAACCAGTCAAAATGGCCACTTGTCCCTAAGCAAACATTAAATGCAAAAGGACCCTACTTAGACCACAAAACTGCAGTAGAAATGACACGCAGCCTCCCTTCATCGTAACATCCTTCACTCTCACTGGTTTCCTAGGGCCCTGATCCTGTTTGACCAAACTAACAACTCCCTTTCCTGTCATCTGAGACTTACAGTTCAGGGTCATTTGCGTTTAAGATAGTTTCCATGTCTTTTCATTAGTACGGGGGAGCTGGGGAGTGCTCACTGCCTTCACAATAATGTGACTATATACAAGGCTGAATTTTTGAAATAACATATCAAATTATGGCAAGACTTTATCGTATAGATAAAAATCACTAAAAATGTTCAATAGTTATATCTCAAGCACAAATCAATGTAAATAATGCATATTAAATATACCCCCATAGCCATTTTCAAGCAAAATTAGGATATATGGCTTACAGCCCAGGAGGAATGTCAGATATAAAAGTATAGTACATGGAGACAGATCTCATTAAATCTTTCTTTATGAGGGAGGAACATATTCAAGTTAATCCATGATTTTTGCTATCTGAAAATTCTTAGATTCGGTTTGCTTTTTTTCTACCTATCTTAATATTTTCCCATTTTGGGAGGTGGGAACCTGGAAGTGGCTAAGGATGACAACCCAGGGGCCAGTGTTCAAGAGAAATATGCTGGAGACAGAGGTCAGGCCCACTCAGGCAGGAAGCTGGGTGCACCACAGCACAGCACAGCGAAAAATCAAAGTGAGCTCCCTGTGCCTTCAGTGAAACCTGGCTCTACTCTGAGGCCAACACTTCCTCACCACCCCTCAGGTTGAGCTGGCTTGGGTCTGGAAGGGTCATGAGGAGAAAGTGGCTGGGCCGTGATCCTTGGCGCTGCTTCTAAACTATGACAGACCCTCACCCTCTTGTAAAAACATTTCCCTTTCTTTTTTTTCTTTTGAGACGCAGTCTTGCTGTCCCCAGGCTGAAATGCAGTGGCTTGATCTTGGCTCACTGCAACCTCCACCTCCTGCGTTCAAGCAATTCTCCTGCCTCAGCCTCCTGAGTAGCGGGATTACGGGCACCTGCCACCATGCCCAGCTAATTTTTGTATTTTCAGTAGAGACGGAGTTTCACCATGTTGGCCAGGCTGGTCTCCAACTCCTGATCTCAAGTGATTCACCTGCCTCGACCTCCCGAAGTGCCGGGATTACAGGTGTGAGGCACTGTGTCCGGCCAAAACATCTCCCTTTCTGAGGCCTATGCCTCCCACCACTGGGAAGCTCCTTCCTTGCCCCTCATCTTGGCTGACCCAACTCATGGAAGATCTACAACTGTACTGTAACTCTTGCTATCACCCAGGTGGTTTCCACACCCATGTGGATGGATGAACCATCCCACACATGCTCTCGCAGCAACTTGATGTCCTATTTTTTCAATTGTCTTTTATTCCACTCCACTTTTTAAAATTCCATTCCACTTCAGCTACCCACTCCCACAGACACGCTGGATCTGGACATCACCCTGAATTCCTCAAATGCAGCTGCCCACAGTCTGCCCAAACTCAGCTGTCAGCTGACGGCTGCTGCTTCTTTTTGCCTCCTTACACCCCACAGGCGATGCTGCCACTGGCTTCTTTTAAGCCCGACATCACAGCCACACCAACACCTCTCCAGAACCGCTAGTCCTCTACTTTCTCATTCAGCTTTGAGTCTACAGATCACAGATCTAGCTGCTCTTCTAAATAGCCCTCACCCTACCCTTTGGCCATACCCAATCTGGCAAAAAAAGCCAAGCCAGTGTGAACCAATCATTTTCCTCTCTGAACATATATCCAGACAAATGTGTAATCCTAGAGGGAAAAAAAGTCCAACCACCAAGCTGACTCGATTCACTGGAATGCCCCTATTTCAAGGGGTCCTCAGCAGGCACCATGTTCCAGTGCGTCTCCAATGCATTCACTCTCCACTCCACTGTGCTCACTTCCAACTGTCCCGAAGTTCCTCAAAACCTCACCATCCCCTTGATCCTTCTCACAAAAAAAAAAAAAAAAAAAAAAAATTACCTATGAGACAGGGACTCCCTCAAGTTCCTATGTGCCTC